AAGGCATCACTAAACTTAATTTATTTATATCATCATAACATTTATTTAAAAATCAGTCACAATAACCAAAGGAATTAAAGACAGACAATGCCAGTGTAGCAGTAGGTGCTAAAAATTCTTTCATGCATGCCAAGAGAAGCTTCCTACCAGAGTTTCTAAGAAGCTGTTTCAAGACCTCTTGAAGCATGTGACAGGTCATCACACTCAGAGGGATATCTTCACCTTCTGTCTGTTATTGCTGTGGTCTCCTTTTAATCCCTTTAGCATTCTGCTGAAATGAAGTTTATAAACAGAAGTTTGGGACTGGATCAACACCAATACTGTCAAATATCTAAGTCAACAGTTTAAATCCTTCAGTCTGCTTCCACCTTCTGAATCTACAAATTGCTCTATATTCCTGTATTTTATAAAAGGAGTTTCACAGATGTGTTATTTTCTTGGCTATTTCCAGACCATGTGTCTTTAAAGAAAAAAAAATGTAATAGGGTCAGAAATTAAAAGCAATTAGAGTGACTTTTCAATGCATAACAGATATGAAGAATCTCCTATTAATAAATACTTGCACATGCTCTCTGACTTAAGTTTTATAGATTGTAAATTTCTTTCTAATTTTTCCTTTTTTAAAAAAGACAAAATGTTTGATACATATCTATTTCAATTGCCCCTTATGTTATTTGTAAGCTATCATTTTTAAAGTTTTGAGTTATAGGAGTTAAATTTGTGTAATCATCTTTGCATAAACTAATCCCTAGAAACTCACTTAAAATGACTCATTTCTGAAAGATAAATATAGCATTTTTCTCAGTCTTAGAAATGGGCTTTGACATCGACATGAATTCAGAAGAAAAATCAATTCAGAAAGTTGTGACTGTCTTACCAAAGCTTAAGTTGACTTGCATATAACATAAAAATTGTTAAAATTGTGGAGAAGGCAAAATTTAACTTTTTTAATAATAATCAAATGTCAATAAATTATAAAGTAGTCTCACCTATTCATTTGAACTAACCTTGGATGATAATTTTGTATGAAAACAACCAAACCCTCTTTTTCCTTTTTTTTTTTTAACTAAACTGTTTAATGAGGTTACAGAGAGTACATGGGTTTCTCCCCACCCCCACTCTTTTCTTTAAAATAAAACCCCTATTCAGATTCTCCATTGCCAAGAGTACTATTCCTACATAACATACCATGCCTGAAAACACTAGCTTTTGCACAAATGTTTTCAACTAATATTATTAACAGCTTGAATCCACAAAAATCTTTTCAGCTGCTCTCCTAAATCCAAACACATTTCTCCTCAGTTAAACAGGCAAGGATGGGTTTAGGGAGGAAAATCTATGAGATTACCATTGTGTTCATCCCCTTTGGTTGGCAGAATAAGGCAGCACAAAATGCCAACTTTCATGATCCAAATAAACCATGGACAATTGAGGGCCTGGGCTGGCTGGAAGTCAGTCCTCCAAATTAATTCTATTCATGTGTCCTCCCTTTGCAGTTTTCAGAATATGATGACACAGGTAACAGAAAAAATTCAGAGGTAAAGAAATCAGCTAATTTACAAAAAAACAAGAAGCAAATCTTTCTGAAGAGGAAACAAGGCTATATATAATGCTACCTTCAAACATATATTCACTCAAGATTAATTTAATTTTATTTCTTAACTTTAATAAAGGTCATTGATTTTCACAATTTTAGATATTGCTAAAATTGCAGACTACAGCTAGAGTAGTGGAATTAATTTTATTTTCATGTGACTCCCTCCTGACAATTCAACAAATTGTCATGAATCTTAGAGTGGAGTTTGTTTCTAAAATAAGTTTAATGCTCCCTCTACCCAATTAGGAAGATTAAAAGGCCATTTGATGCAATTGGTAATAGTTTCTTTCTCTTCCCGTGTTGATCCATTTGTTCCTAGGACCCAAATCCTGGGACATTTTAACTGTTTGGCAGGCTTTTTATGGAAATGAAGAGAGGCAGTGAAGAGATTGAGGGAAGAGAGAATTTTTCTCAATGTTCCGCTTGTAATCTTAGGTTCTGAATCAAAATATGATTTCTTGGACGGTGTAGACTTGGTGGTTGAATGCCTGGGAATGTGTTTAAATTTAGTTGTTACCTTTCTGTGTCATCATAGAAACATGAGGAGCTCTTAGGTTGGGAAATACAACCCTCATGTAAATGACAGCTTTGCATATAGGGAAAAAAGAATGAATGTGCTCCAGTCTTTGGGACCTGTTTTTAAAACTCCGAGATGTTTATTCTTCCTTCACTTTGGATTTGGGGGTAAGGAATATTTCCTGCCTAAATTCACACACACTGACCCAATTCCCTGTGTCCCTTTCAACTCGAATGACATCATAACATCAACTAGATGTTGAAAAACAGTTGCAAATAAGAGATTGGGAAATGTGAACAGAAAGGAGGCTTGGGCAAACAGAATCACATTCTCTTCATTTTCTTCGTACAAAATTTGCTCAATCTCTCTTTTCGAAAATAATTAATGTTTAACAGGGCTTTGAAGAAATCTAAGAGGTTGTGGTGGTTTTCTTTGACTGGATGGACAAAGGGGCAGAGAGGGGGGAATAATGATGAGCCATACAGGGAAGGTTAATGTAGACAGGGGCAGTTTCCAAGCAATTGCTAAGATGTGCGGTCTCTTGCTTCTCACTCCACTTTTCCAGCACAACGTTGCGTCCGCGGTCCACGCTGGTGAGGCCAGGCAGAGCGGAAAAGAGCGCGCTTCGCAATTGTTTAAGGATGGACCGCCCGAACTGAGCGAACGCAGTGCGACACTCGCGGGAGTCTCCCAGACTGGTCGTTGCTAGTGGGCTCAGTGACTGCATGGCACCTGGGCTTCTGAGGTGTCCTTAGATCCATCTTAAGGCACCCAACCCGAGGCCAAACCAGGGCCAGGACTGGACAGAGCGGTCCCTGCCTGGGCAGCAAGAGTGCAAAGCTGTGTGGAGCCCGCACTCTCTACCTCTCTCATCCAGAGGGGTGTACAGTGGCCCTTCTGTCAATGGTTAGCTTTTGACACAGATAGATGGTTTTGCTTCTCCAGGCACTGGCGTGAAGGGTTGGGGTGGAAGGGAAGTTCTGTGCCACCTGCACACCTAGACTGACCGAAACCGTAGGGGTGGGGAAGCTCAACCACCGGTCAGCCCTGCAACTAAAAAGAGGTTTGGGTAAAACTGCACTAGGGCATTGTCTTCAAGTTTTAATTTTCATTAAAAATAAATTATATTGTAGTTAATTAAACTCCAATCTCTCAGGACGCTCACATCTATGAAACCAGTTATAGACAAGGAGTCATTRTTCACTTATAAATAAGGCAAACCAAAAATTCAATCTGGAAAGATTTAACTTAAAATTTTCAGTTTCTACTTTCAGCGACCCCAAGACTCTGCTGAGGACGTCAGATCTCTTTGTCTTCCTCAGAGCTTTTTCAGTCCTTTCCTCCAAGCCACGCAATAAAGTGATTTGATTTTAAAAAATGGAAATAAAATATTCACTTTTTAAACACAAGTTTCTTCAAGAATGTATTTGTTTGCTTGTTTACAGCTGAGAATCTAGGAGACTTTTTGTTGAATTTAGACAGAGGAGTAAATAATACGGTTGGCTTTGGTCTATCCTTACTGCTTCTTTATTGGGGTTGGGCTCTCAATATTCCCAACTCTGTGCCACTCCCTAAATCTGGCTTGCCACATTCCAGTAACCTTTTTCCCCCTGCCACCTTACCACGGAAACAGCCAAGTCTCAATTCATTCCTAAACTCTTCAGACAGAAATTCCACTTTTACATTCTCTTCCCCAGGGGGCTGCAAAGAGGATAGTTGGGGAGGTGGAGATATTTGCAGGTAGGAGGTCCGAGTCTGCTGAGTTCTCTGGCCAAAGACACAACCGCCCGGGAAGGCTTAACAATTGGTAGTGCAGACTTTCACCTCTCTAAAATGAAACAGCATCGCAGCTTTTGTCATTACCAGTCGAAGAAGCAGCAGAAGTCCTTTCTGGACTGTCTGCAGTTTCTAGGATACCCCTTAAATTCAACGGGTTCATGATCCAAAAAAAAATTATGTAGATGTTAAAAGACGAGGGTTGAGGAGGTCACCGCCTGCAAAGCCAGGTGTTCGGAGGCTGAATAAGGCCCCCTAAGAGACTCCTCGAAAGCTTCTCGAACCAGGTGCAGCCAGAGATCATGCGTGATCTATGCAGAACTAGCGGGTTAGGGTGATGGGCATCAAAGGGAAAGTGGGGGATTCAACTTTAGAGGGACAGAGGGACCAACCCTAGAAAGTGCAACTGGGGAGTTCGGAGGAGCGGGTTGGAGGAGGCGCAAAGGAGGTGGAGCAGATGAAGCGGTAACTGGAGTCAGCCACTACCACTTCCCCGAAGTGGGAACTCCTCTGTGTCCGGGAGGAGTCCCTGGACTTGTTCAATATTCCGTTTGCGAAGACCCAGATCCCCTAGGAATTCCAGGGAAACACACATCACCCGGAGCCTAGAGCAGAGAATCTGCGGCACCTTGCCACTCCCCCACCCACACACTCAGTCCTCCAATGTGAGGATCAGCCTCTCCCACCAGAATTTTCCCGGACTTTCGTTCTCTTTGAATGTAAGAGTCTCAATTACTCTTTCTCTGTAGGAGCGCAATTCATATTCTTTCTCTTTCTTTCTCTCTCCGGTAGTCCCTGTCTCCCTCTCACCCCACTCCTTTCCTCCCCTTCCCCCACCCACCCAACTCCTTTTAGGCTAGGAAAGCCCTGCTAGCGGTGCAAAGCTTCTGGCCCCAAGTTCGGGATCTCACAGTCTCTGGCACCCTTGGCCTCACGCTTGCCGCAAGGAGTTCTGAGAAACACGCCGGTGGCCCCTTAGGCTGATGGCCCTTGTTATCCATTGGGCCCCAGGTCCCCGCCCCCCACCATCCCTCCCCCTCTGAGACCGGGGTGTGGCGTCAGCACGTCCGCGGGGACATGGGGTTTAAATGCCCACTAGCGGGAGCCCAGGCGCTCTGTCCGGGAGCGCAGCCCCGGCTAAAATTGCAGGAGTGGGAGGGGAGCGAGCCAGCTGGATCCCGAGTCGCTGAGCGAGCCGGCCCTCGCTCCGCCGCCGATGACTCCGGAGCTCAGGCCCAAGCGCCGCCCATGCAGCATCCCTGAGCTCCGCCGAACCAGAGTTAATGAAAAATCATTTAACCGTCTCCGCGGCGGGGAGCCATGAGCTGTCTGGATGTTATGTACCAAGTCTATGGTCCTCCGCAGCCTTACTTCGCAGCCGCCTACACCCCCTATCACCAGGTACGTTTCTCCTTAGGGTCTGGACTCAAACTTGGAAAATTGATGACTCCCCTCCTCCGATCTTCCGAATACCGCTGGTTCCCTAAGGTCCGAAGTGTTCCGGGTGTCCAGGGTTTCAGGCTAGCCCCTGGCGCCGCCGGGATGTAGGGATTGCCCGCGCTGCCACCCAGTTGGCTGTTCACTTAGCTAACCCCTTTAGCTCGCCCTTTCGCTCTCTTGGGAAGACAGCTAAGCCTTGCTTATGTGCACCCGAGTCTTCCTGTGAATAATGAGGAGAATCCCGGGCTAGATTTTCTTAGTCTGTCAGACTTAGGACTCCTAGTGCAGTGCGGGGGGCTTCTGGCAGAGCTTAAGCGGGGAACACCAAACTTTGGTCCTGAAGGTGAGAATGGCAACAAAATCAAAAGCAAAGGCCAGTCTCTGTCTTTAGGTCTGAGATGCAAAGGCCCCTTGCATTATTTTCTATGTAAGCTTACTTATCTCAGGAATAATTTCTTCCAGTTTAATTCTCAGGAAATTGGGCCAATTAATTCCAGAACCGCAAAGAAGGCGTTGGTTTCCTAATCTTTGCTTTGCTAGGTTCTAGAGAGTATCATTAGGGTGCGCTTGACTGATCGAGCTTCATAGATAATACTTCCCATTTCTTAAGTCTGGGTAGCTGAATCAGGCAGTCTAGGCTTCAACAAACTCACTTAAAAGACCACTTAACGGTCCTGCAAACTCTTCAAGTTTCATTTAATTCCACCAATTTTTCTTTTCCTTGGGCTGTATCTAGTCAATGATTCCTTCATCTCCTCAGCTGATCTAGCAGAAACCTAGGATACTGTGAGAAAAGAACAAAAGCACACACCTGGGGCCCAGACCAGGTTGGAAAATGTGTTCCTGGGCTTCCACTTCGGGAAATACACTATAATGATCCAGTCACCGTTTTCATCAGTTTTGAGTTCAGAATGTCTACTTTGAAATGAACTAATGAATGATAAATTGGGTAGGTTTTGCTCCTAGTTTTCTTCCCGCATCCTTCCCTCTTTAAAATTTCCAATCTGGAGTTTGTAGTTGCAATGCTAACTTTAGGAATCCTCCAAACGTCACTGAAAGCCAGGTGGAAAAATGGCCTTTAGGAAGTGGCAACATTGCTAAATAACTGAAATTTGTTTTTTGCTTCAACCTCTGAGATGCACTCCTTCTCAGGACAGAATTATTGTAAGGTGGAGAGAGGCAGGTTGGTTTTCTGTCTGGCCCTTTCTCCTCCTGGACCCTGAACCAATGTATTGCACTAAGATCTCTGTTCATTTTTCTGTGGCTTAACACCGGAGCCCCAAGGCCATCTCTGCCTGCAGAATGCTTTAACACTATATTCAGGCCATTGCTCATTTCTAAGAAAATGTTCTCAGCAGCTGCACTTGGTTTTATAAACTCACTGTCAGACCTCATGATTTACCCAACCTCACAATCACGATGTTAACCTTCTTATTCTTGCTCCTTTTCATGAGATAYGAAGGGTGGAAATATTCATAGAGCACTGCTTTTTCTTCACTTAAAAGATCTGCTTAAAAATGGAAACAGACTTTTAAATTGATAATTTATGGGTAACTAAACACATATCAAATTGCATTTATTAAAATGATCCATATATTTCCCCAATCACAATTTCATCTCACATTTACCCCATTTGTTACTAACTTAAACTCTTTCTCACTTCCTGTGGCAGTTCTTCTTTCACATTCCCGGTTGTGGGTAGTGTATTTTGTATTTTGGGTTCTTTTTTTCCAAAAAAAAAAAATTAAAAAGTATGAGGATGTTTAATTTTAATTTGTATCTTGTGCTTCTATTTTGGATTCTCAAGCAGGCAACAGTCAGGCCCTACCTGGATTTAAGTACTCTTTATCCTTGGAGGCTGATTTTTAAAATGTGTGTTTGGGGCTCTGAGGTCAAACTCGGCTCATAACCTGACTTTTTGAGCACTTTCTGGAACTATCATCCTCACATATTAGAGATTTCCTTGCAACCCAGTAGTAACTCAAGGAGGCAGAGGTACCAAGGATGACAGCCTTCCTCTAAAGAAGCCCACCCTTGCTAGGGTGCAGGTTGCAAGTCCTGCTGACCTTGTCCTATTGCAGGTTTTATGTGAAGGGCACAAGGCAAACACACACACACACAGATGCCACTTTTCCCATGGATACCTTAGGGATTTGGATGAGGGAATTCAGTCTGAACCCAATTTACCATCTGTTTTGAAACTGACATTCATTCATATTCATATTCTCTCTCTCTCTCTCTCTCTCTCTCTCTCTCTCTCTCTCTCTCTCTCTCCCCAGAAGCTAGCCTATTACTCCAAAATGCAGGAAGCCCAAGAGTGCAACGCCAGCCCCAGCAGCAGTGGCAGTGGCAGCTCCTCATTTTCTAGCCAAACCCCAGCCAGCATAAAAGAGGAGGAAGGCAGCCCAGAGAAAGAGCGCCCACCAGAGGCAGAGTACATCAACTCCCGCTGCGTCCTCTTCACCTATTTCCAGGGGGACATCAGCTCCGTGGTGGATGAACATTTCAGTAGGGCCCTGAGCCAGCCTAGCAGCTACTCCCCGAGCTGTACCAGCAGCAAAGCACCAAGGAGCTCTGGTCCCTGGAGAGGTGAGTTTGGGGGTCCTACTGGGAAGAATAGATGGAAGGCTCTCTCAACTTGAGGTTCACCTACAGGGGCCCAAGATTTGCAGCTGAAAGAACACTAGATGTCAAAGAAGTGGCAAAGAGGGCATTTGAGGAGAGTAGTAAGAACAATGATGGGGAGAAAGGGCTTGGGTATAATATTTCTTCTTAAAGAGGCAGAGCAGAGCAATGACCTGGAAATAAACACAAGCCTTGGAATTCAAAGGTCTGGATTCATGTGTTGGCTCTACCACTTCCTAGCATTATGACCTTGGGCAAGTCTCTTAACCTCTTTGAGGTCACTATTTAATAGTCTCTAAAATTAGAATAACACTTGCCATCCTAACCATCATCAGAGAAGGCTTTAAGACTGGAACATTAGAATGTATGTAAATTTGAGGTTTCCAACACCCTCCCAAACTCAGTGGCASAGGAACTTTACCAACAACTTAATGGGCATTTTTCCAATTTCAATTTTTTTTTCAAAAAAACAAAAATTTGCCCAGAAGTCCTGGACTCCTTCTGCAAGCAACGTCTGTTGGAGAACATGCCCTAAAACCAACCTATGCCTTTTGCCATGTTTCCATTACTTAGGAAATCTTGAAGCAGAAAATGTCTTTTCAATAGCAAATGTAGTGGTTTTCCCAACACATCTCCTCTTAAAGATTTTTCTTCCCTCCCCATGAAGCACCACTTTAATCTGAGACAATGATTACTTAAGTCAACCAAATCTCTCTTCTATTCTGAAATCTCAGCTTCCCTTTATTCACAATAAGACAAAGGTAGAAAACATTTAATAAACTTGCTCACTGAGCTTAGTTTTTGATGTGTACCAAGTTGAGAAATGAGGACTTTATTGTTTAAAAATAATTGTCATTTTGGAGGAGATGAGGATGCTCCCTTTCCCCACCCACCCACCGTTTTTTTCCCTAAGAGTCTAGCAGTTTGCATAAATCTTGTCCTTAGACAAGACCCCCCCAAAATAGTTTAAATACAGGACATTATTATTATTATTATTATTATTATTATTATTCTCCAATTACCTGAATATTTTAAGGGGAAGACTGTTTGCCATTTAGCATACATTCCAAATAATTTGAAATTCTCTTGTATTTAGTACAGATGGCTTCCCCCAGAGGATGGGGCTTTGAATTAAATGTATGTCTTTCCTTTCCTACTAAAAGCAAAAAAAAAAATTAATTTAATCTCTGTTCCCTTAAAATGCTACCATGCATTAGGGATTAACAGATAAAATGACTATTACTATTATTCCTGACRTCCTTATTTTGATGCAGACAATTTGTTTATTGAGATTTAGGATTTTAAAACCTGTCCCTTAATGTCCCTCTTTGCAAATAATACAACAGCTCCTTTAATATATCTATTTTACCCTTTTGCTTGAGTTCTTGGTGAAAAAAATATTTGAAATAAGGTTTCTAAAAAGAAAACTAATAATAGCAAGACTTCGAAATATGTTGATGAACTGCGAGTCTATCAGAGACCTTGGAGGGGCACAATTTCTGGAATAAGGAAGACTGAAAGGCGAGAGGAGGTAGTGAGATCGCTAGGCGGCCAACTGGAGGACGGGTCTTAGCTTGAGGAGAGCCTGAGGACAGAGAAAGGAAAGTCGCGTCTGCCCTGAGGCTGCCCAGGCAGCTCGGGCCGGGAAGTGGGGTAAAGCTTCCTGTTCCCCAAAACTGCAGGCAGAAGGGACCTCTCCATTCTTCCTCTCTTCCACTGTCCGGTTTCTGCATTAAGGCTTCTGCAAAATCGGAGGAATCCAGCAGCTGTGGTGATTTCTGTGTGCCGGGACCTCCTTTTTTCCGGCTGCGTCCTGGTAAAGGTGCAGCTCGGAGACAGATGTTACCGGTCCGCCTCTCACACACACCCAGCTGCAGCTTTCCCGCCCTTAACGAGCCGGGCTGTTCAGTTCAAAAGGCAGTGTGGGTCAGCGTTCCTGTAGAGCGGCAGTGACCAGGTCCTGTGTTTCCTCCTTTCCGCCTCCCCCGCCAGCAGACAGCTCCTTCCCGATGAACCAGCGCAGCTTTCCCGCCTCCTTCTGGAACAGCGCGTACCAGGCACCAGTACCCGCACCTCTGGGCAGTCCTCTGGCCGCGGCTCACTCTGAGCTGCCCTTCGCCACCGCAGACCCCTACTCTCCCGCGGCGCTGCACAGCCACCTGCACCAGGGCGCAGCCGAGGCATGGCACCACGCGCACCCGCACCACGCACATGCCCACCACCCGTACGCGCTGGGCGGCGCCCTTGGCGCCCAGGCCGCTGCCTACCCGCGACCCACCGCTGTGCATGAAGTCTATGCACCGCACTTCGACCCTCGCTATGGTCCTTTGCTGATGCCCGCCTCCTCTGGGCGCCCGGCCCGTCTTGCACCAGCTCGGGCACCCGCACCCGGCAGCCCACCTTGCGAGCTCTCCGCAAAGGGCGAGCCAGCCGGAGGCGCGTGGACCGCGCCCGGGGGGCCCTTCGTGAGCCCCGCGGGGGACGTGACCCAGGGCCTGGGCCTCAGCGTGGACTCAGGTAAGCGGAGGAGGGAGTGTAGCCTCTCCGGGGCCCCTCCAGCGCTGTACCCGACCCTGGGCTAAGCCTTAGACCCCTTTAGTCTTGGGAGACTCCGGGACTCTGTGGTCAGAATCTGCATGGATTGTGTTTGGGCTGATACAGAACCCTGTGCCATCGATGTGGGCGGGGTTAGAAAATAGGATCCTGCCCTAACCGGGCTATAAAATATTACAGAAGACTCCCTCCCCTCTTTTCTTTTTAAATAAAATCTGGTGGAAAGGTTCTAGCTCTGCGCTGTTCAGAATTGTAGCCACTAGCCACAATGTGACTACTGAGCACTTAGTATGTGTAACTGGGGCAAATTAAGATGTGCAGTCAGTACATAATACACACTGGGGTTTCAAAAACATTGTGCTAAATAAGAATGTAAAATTCACCTCGTTAATATTTTTATATTGATTTTGCATGTTCAAATATGTTCAAAACGTTGTATATTAAATATATTGGGTTAAATAAAACATACTATTAAAATTCCTACTTGTTTCTTTTTTACTTTTTTTAAAAAATGTGGCTGCTAGAAAATTTAGGATTATGCCTGTGGCTCCCACTGTATTCCTATTGGACAGCGCTGATCTAGAGTACCTGCTGAGAGTGTAGTTTAAAATACTGTATGACTTGCTTGGGGCTCTCCTAGTGACAGTCATGTGATTCTTAGATCAGCTTAATTGCCAAATTAAATAGGAATCTTAAAATGTAAATCTTACAGACTGTGATTTTAACGATAATGCTGAGATGCTAAATCTCTGACTTAATTTGAAAGGTATAAATGAGGATTTTTTTTTTTGCTTTCTTTTATTTTTAGAACAAATGAAAAAAAAATGTTATATTAAAAGTGAAACAGCTAGCTTGTAGTCTTGTCCACTCAGGTGAAGATTTACTTTTCTGTTTGCTTTGATTTTACTTTCATTCACCATTCACCCTTTCCCCCTTTAGATTAAGTCTGTGACTTTCACAATAAAACAGTGGTGTTTTGTTTTTCTCTTTCCTTAAATATCTTGTGCCTTCCCTTCCCCTTCCTTCTCTCTCCCTCTCTTTTTGTTTTTCCTTTCTTTCTCTCTCTCCCTCCTTTTCCTTTCCTCCCCCGCCCATTCCCACCTTCCTTCTTTCTTTTCCTCCCTCTCTCTTCCCCACCTTCTCTTTTTATCTTCTCTGTTTTCAGGTTTACAGCCTCAGGACAAAAGCAAGGATCTGTACTGGTTTTAGAGCCCAACTTCTTCCCTGTAGGTCTCTGCATAGTGCAATTGGTGACTCAGAGCTGAAATGGAGTGGGTTTGTAACAGCTTCTGATCTTGGTTTGCAGCTCCTCGTTATTCCCTCTGTGGTGCATCCCTTCTGAGCTGATCTGCTGACCCAGGGTTTCCCCTCCCTTTCCTTTCTGACCAGCCATGGAGGCTCAGCATCTGTGCCTCTCACTTCGTGGATGAGGACACGGGGGGAAGGCAGAGACTTCAAACTTCTCCATGTATTGAGAAAATTAAAAGGCACATTTACAGAAATCTCATCTAAAGTTAATCTCTTCCAAAAGAGCAGTTCCAGAGACTCTGAATTATTTTCAATGATTTTGGCCAAATCACTGGAAATATCTGTGGTGAGATTGTTTAGTCAGGTGATATGACACCATAAGCTTTCATGGAATGGGAAAAATATTTTTCATGCTGTTGTGAATTATTTCATTAGGCAGTGTGATCAATACACTACTGATGTCAACATCCTCAGGTTTAAAAATGTCATTTAYATCTGCAACAAAGACTGTGGTAGAGAAGTAAAAAGAAGCCAATTCTTCCTTCTTCAAGGCTCAGCCTCCAGCTTCTTTCCTGCCCATCTCCTTCCCACAACACCCACTCCAGACAGAAAGACACTTTTTCCTTTGGACTGTGAACATGGAAGCCTCAGTCTGAATGTGAATGGCAAGTGGCTGATCTGGAGCCACCTGCCCAAGTCTTACTGAAATGCAGCTGTTGTAGGACAACTGTTTAAAACTCCAGAAATACATCGACCAAGGTGGCACTTCCCAGTGTTTGGCAGAACAATTGCAATTGCACTGGATATATTATATATATATGTATATATATCATCTTTTTTACAAGGAACATTTTACAATGAAAGAAGAACCCTGCTCTGCCTTCTCTCCCACAAATCCTGTCCCTCCCTTTATCCTCCAGATGAAAGATGCAATAAAAGATTCCAACTGTCTCCATGGAAAGGAACAAGAAATCACCCACCACTAGGGGAAAAAAAAAAATCTATGGAGTAAACAACATCTCGAATATTTTTCTCAGTCTCCAAGGTTGTGAGTGGTCACTTTTGTATTGGAACAGGGGAAAGGGTCTGTGTGTGGGCAAAGGTGAAGGAGATAAGGAAGAAGAAACAAACATTAAAGATGTCTATTTACTACAAATTCACTGTCTTGTTTCATAAAAATAAATGTCTTAGTTTTTCTTTAGAATAAAATAATTTACAGTAGTATAATCTAGTGTCAGCAATATCATGAGCAATACACACACACACACACACACACACACACACACACCACATTTTTGTAAGTGTTTGCTATATTCTGAAATCTGTTAATCCCTTTCCACTTGACAGCAAATCTAGAAATTGGCAGTTAGGTATCTTTCCCACCTCTGTTTTACAGGTGAGGAAATCATGGTCTGTGGAAGCACAGGACTTATTCTGTAAGTATTCAGGAAGTTAGACGCGGAGGCTGTACACAGAGCACTATAAGTAGACCATTCAGTCAGATATAGATATTTTATTTTCCAGAAGGGAATTGCTGTTACTGTCTAAATTCTAGCCTCTATGACAGTGTCATCAGTTGAAAGTGTTTTTCAAATATTGGTTATTTTATATTTTAACAAAGTAAGCTAAGTGACCAAAGCTCTTGCTAGGGGAAAAGACAGACAGACAGACAGATAGATAGATAGATAGATAGATTCATGTCTTTTCCCCCCTATTGATGCTAAAGTTATTTGTGTTCTTTTACTAAAGGGCCCAGGAGAAGCCAGGCATGGTGGTGCACACCTGTAAACCCAACTACTTGGGAAGCTAAAGTGGGAGGATGGCAAGTTCAAGGCCAGCCTGGGCAATTTAGTGAGATCCCATCTTAAAGTAAAAAATAAAAAAGGACTGGGGATATAGCTCAGTAGTAGAGTACCCCTGGGTTCAATCCTCAGTACCACACCATAAATTAATAAAAATAACAAGTAAAGTGCCCAGGAGAGATATATTATGTTATACCATAATTGTCCTTTTACATTGTTGAAGCATAAAAATGTTAGTCCAAATCTTGACCTTCATTGTAATGTGAGAGGCAAATATCATTTATCTTGGATCATAATCTCAAAGAGTTGGAAGCAGTTAAAGGAACTTACTCAAAGCATGAATTTGGCAGAGTTACCCATCTTCTTTTTTTATTTTTGGGGAACCTGTGAAGTAAATATGATCATTAAAAGAATATTGTTGGTTTTGCTCAGATGAAAGGTCCTATATGATTAAGCTCTCCAGATCTGATAATAATAATAACTAATGTTAATTATTTATCATGGGCCAGGCAGTGATCTAAAGACTTTATGAATAGATTTAATCCTCACATTTTTATGTGCCATTTATTATTATGATCTCCTTACTATGAGAAAACTGAGGCACTCAGAGGAAGAATAATTTACCCAGTCATAAAGCTTGTAAGTGGCAAAACCAATATACAAACCCAGACTCCAAGTGCAGACACTTCCATTTTACCCCTGCAATGTAATTGTCCGGTCATAATTTCTCACTTTGCTGTTCAAGTTTTAACTTTTTTTCTTCTCCACGACAGATGTATAAAGAAAGGGGAAAGAGGCAGGGAAGAAAATACTGGCATTCACAAGATCCCAGGTCTCAAAGGAGCTATTACTGGACATTGTTCAAAATCCTTCATAAGATGGCATTACCATTAGACCAGTCAGTCGGATGCAGTTCTCTATTCTTCTCCAGGAGGGAATTATTACTGCTTCTTTTATTAATTCATTTCAGTATTTAACAGCCTACACTGCTCTGAAGTTCTTCACACCCAACCTAACCAAGCCCTGTAAGATTTATCCTGAGATTTGGACATTGAAGCAATTACTAAAATTAACTTTGGACTTCTCTGTGGATTTTTTTTAATCCATGTTCCATTGGCATGGATCACTGGCATATTAAGGCATAAATAAGATGGATTAAGTCCCCGTGTGATTTTCAGAACCTACTAATAAATGTCATAGAAGAAGAAAGCATAGCAGTGTACTCTGCTAGGCATCTCTTCCTAGTATTCCCCACTGGAAGAGGCTCTTTACCTGCTTCCACCAGTGTTAGCATTCACAAGGTCTGTAGTCACAATCCTCAGGGAGCATTTTCCCAGCCACAAGGTTCTGATTACCGAAACTTCTCCTAAGCTGCATCTGACCTGAATATCAGATTGCAGGTGAGGAGACTCATTCACTGGAACTGGCCTTTGGGGTAGCCTTGAACACACCGTTCAGACTGCTGAGCCAGCCCAGGCTCCAGAGATTTGGCAGGGATGACCCTTGAAGTGCAGCATTTTGCTGTTTTATCCTTCCTAAAGTAGAAATGCAAGATGATCTAGATCTAAGATTTGGTTCTGTGTAATAAAAACATTGAAGACAACTTTGGGATCAGTGATCCTAGCTGATATGCTCTAGGCCCACCCACCAAATCATACAAATTATGAACTCCCATACCTGCTTTGCTAATATTAGTGAAACCATGAAGATTTAAAGATTCTAGTAGCTGAATAAAGGACATTTGAGGAAATGAGGTATGACATTAGAAAAGCATGATGTTGAGGGTCTGAGAAAAAGATTAGATTCCTGTAATCATATTACTTGGCCCTGGTGTATGCCTCACCCACAGCTTTCCTTTTGCACTTGGCCTAAGCCAAGGAAGAGGTGATGAAAAGGGGAGAGACGTCTCTCCACCACGAAGTAATCCTCTTGCCCATTGCCCTCTGGCTGAGAACTCATCAGCCAGCTACAGGGAATTCTATCTGTTCTATTCCTTTAGTTGAAAAGGACTTGCTATCCCCGTCTCATTTCCCCTTTGAAGTTCTATTTCAATGCGTGGCAAATTCTAGCACTGCCTTAAGATTGATTGGGTTCTTTGTAAACTCTGGATATTAAGGCTCTATCTGAAGTGTGAGGAGTAAAAATTTGTTCCCATGATGTAGGCTAGAGCAGATTATGCTTAGTGAAGCTAGCCAATCCCTAAAAAACAAATACCAAATGTCTTCTTTGATATAATGAGAGCAACTA